ACATTACTTCACAATTTGTAACAATATTGTTATTTACAGATATTGTCTTAAGTGTAGCTCCACTAGAAAAAAAATCTAAATTAAAATGCTAATTATATAAAAAAGAATGAGATCTTCAGAAGTTCTTATGATATTAAAGTCAGTGGAAGTTAGCATTTACTGTGATGGAAGCACAATACCAAACACTTCTAAAAATAAGAAACTAAATTGCTATTTGTTTTATTTTACAGAGAAAATATTAATAATAAATATAATGCAATAGTCATGGCAATACATTTCCATACTGACCTTGCATTTGGTAGCTATATGGAGCCTGTCCTGGTTGAGGTGTGCTAAAGCTTGTACCATAGCTTAGAAAGCCTGTCTGTCCAGGTGACTGTGACTGTGATAATCCACCTTCTGTCTTGATGCCTGCCCACAATGTACCTAAATCAGTTAGTGGACAGCAAATCTATTTGTTCATATTCAAACAATGATGGAAAATAAATCACATAAGCGACAGTGCTTTAAACATATATCTGGTACATGCATTACAACGGTCGTTCTAGATATGTACCTGGTGGATGTGATAAGGTATGTCTAAATGCACATAAAATGTGAGTGTTTTAGTTCAATACTGATTATTAAAAATGAAAAATAATAAGAGAAACATATATTTAGGAAGTTGCGCTTTCCAGAAAGGCACATATTTTTGTATTATTTTCCTGCAACACTCTCAGAAGTTAACTTTTCCACAGTTCTCTGAAACTGAGCAGAAGGCAGAAACTTTCTTTATAGATGTAACCATCTCCCCCTCCCCCTTTTTAATAACATCACAGTTGAGATTTGCATTGGTTAACATTTATGACTTAATCTAAATGCAGGACTGTTGCTACTTATATAGCTCCAAATTCTACAGAATGCATGCATTTCCCTTATAACAGGTAATTAAGATGGCCTATTAGCAAAAATGTGATATGCATTAAAGTAATATTCTATAAATTATATACCATGTTTAACCAATACATCAAAATAACTATAATGGACACTAAATATGTCTTAGACAACCCCTCAAGCTAAAGGGGAATACAGCACTATCATTAATCTGCACTAATGACATGAAAATCCATTACAAAACCTGTTCTAATTTACAAAATTCAGTAAAGGGCTAATCCATAGCCCACTGAAATCAATAGAAGGACTCCCATAAACTTCCATGGGCTTTGGATGAAGTCTTAAATGACTGAGCAATGAAATATCTGTGAATGAAATATCAATGAAATGTGCATTATTTAAACACTAATTTAATTTTAATGTTTAGTGATATTTCATAATGTGCTACCTTTTTAAAGTAGTCAGAAATAAAATCATAACATATTTTGAAGAACTTAGAATTCATTGCAACATTTTATGATCACCTCTTTGTTCAGAAACCACCATTATTTGGGGTACATTATAAAAATATGGGCTAGTAACATTCTGTTGTAAATGATTATAGCATACATTTATTTACTTCATGGATCACATTTTAAAAATTGGACTCCTGTGCGGTATGAAAGGGAGGGAAGTGCACTTGTAAAATGTGCAAGAATATGCTCCAAATATCTTTTGTGACTGCATATTTTTCATGCATAGTTTTGAAACATGTAAAACTGTGGCCCTGAATTTTTTGCTTCATAACTATTGCTGCCATGTTTGGTAATTGTCAAAGCAATTGTACTTAAATAAATTGTTCCCTTTACTCTCTCTTTTCTCTTCTAGTTCATCCTGTACTTAAATCCTAATGATGAACCTGACACTTGGACCTACTATGAAATTCCTACCTTAAAATGTTTGTGTCAACTATGCCCGCTGCACTTACATTGCTTAATTCAAAAGATCCTTGAAACCAAACAGGGATGTACTATGCAGATGTGGAAGGAGAACTTGGCCTCTAAATATGCCTTCACCCTATTTGTTTCATGCTAATGAGGAGTCCCATAGCTTGCAGTGTGACAGCTTATGTGACTATAGTCTATATGAGAGGGGCTGAAGGATGTGCTTCAATGTAACCATGCGTAAGAAAGCAACTGTCAATTACAGACAACACAGATGACAGGGGGGCAGCTGAAGTGGGGAGGTAAATTCAGGCCCCACTGAAGTCACCTGGCATTTTGCTATTGGCTTAAGCAGGATCAGGATTTCATCCAGCAAAGGAGATAAAAGGAATAACCATATGCATTTCCCAGGCTCCCATACATAGACAAGGACAGGATCTCAGTAAGAGAAACTCATAAGAAAAAAAACATTATTTGCACGAAAATATATTTTAATATATTATATACATATTAACGTATTCATTCTAAAATGTAATGTTTTAGATGTTTCAGAGGTGAAGAAAAGCGTTAATTTTAGAGAGTCACATATTGGCAATATAGATCAACATGTAATCTATAGGGAAGACAGGTGAAAAAAGCAGTTGTAGTAGGTACAGTAATACTACCAGCATATTAATGAAAATTATATTTTGCATAAAAAGAGGAAAACCAAAACAATACATAACTACATCAAGTGGAAGTATTTACAGGGTCCTACATATTTCAGCTGTCGTAAAGACAGTCAACTAGAGATGGAATTATTCAGCCTAACATTACTTCCTATTCTAGGCATAGGGAACACCAGCTCATACTGATAATGTCTTAACTACCAGTATAATGGCTAAAAGAAAACTTCTGAAGTGTGTTCTCATATATTACTGTATTTACTGGAATACAAGATGAGTTCCCTTGCAATCAGCAGGGGGGAAAGTTCCTCGTCCTACATTCACATACAAGGAAACCACATTAAATATATTGTCTATCTTCAAATTGCTGCTAAAAGTAGTGTGTGCTCAGTACTGGAAACCAACTGTGAGGTTGGTCAAATGCAGCCAACAGTGAGCATGACTATAAAAACACATAACTCGTATTGGGCAAACATGCTGATGGGAATCTACCATGAGGATAGGTTAGCGCAACCCATTTGAAGAAGATATACAGTAGTGCCCCAGTGCAGTCCCCCTCAGCACCTACTCTTTTTCAAGTCATAGCGAACCACTGCATTGCATTCATTTAGACTTTGTCTTTACTCCTACAGCTAAGCTGCACCCTTCTCTCCCATTTCCAATTACTCCCGTTTCTTCACCAGCCTTAAATATCTGGCAAACATCACCAAATGGGTCCCCAAACAGTTAACGCAGAATACCTCTGTCACCCCCTCTCTAAGCCTACTGCATATGACTAGTGTGGCCTTGCCCTCCATGAGATAAAGCCAGACAAAGTTGCTCTACACCTCATTTGCATACAAATTTTTAGAACATCCCAGGACTCATGACAAGAACACCTGGTTCCAGTCATGAGGGGGGTCGAATTAACACATGGATCCTTTGTTTGGGGTACCTGGAATACACACACAGACTAAGCAGTGCTGAGCTGTCAGATCACCATGGCTTGAAATGCTGTCGACTCTGGTGGGGCCCAGCCCAATGAACTATATAATAAATCATGAGCTTTTCGACTTTAGGCTAATATCATACATAATTTGTCTTACATATAAATAGGTGCTAAGTAGTAGTTAAAAGTGTATTTATGGAGTACCTGTGCTAAAACTTGCAGCAGTTTCCAAAAAAGTAAAATACATCAATTCTAAGGGAACTAAAGCTATGGGTACTATATGCAAATTTCTGAAACTGTGTGTATTTCAAGGTCAGTTTTTTCAAATTTTGCTTTACTTCTATGTGCTCAAGGGGAGCAGGATCTGGCAATAAGGAGGGGGTAAAGGGGCTACTTGACCCCTTCCCCCCCCAAATTTATTTTCCCATATGTGTAGCAGGGGAACGGGACAAATTCAAGACAAGCCTCCAATAATCAGATTCTATATGTGAAAAATTAAATATAATTTATAGTTTTCATATATACAATCTAAGTATGAAGGAGGTCATCTTATATTTGAGTAAATACAGCAATACCATATATATGGTGTGTGTGTATATATACATATATTACAAAAAATATATCCCCAGAGACATATGGATCATATATTTTCAATATACTCTAAAAAGGTGCACATTTCATACTTTTAATGGTTTTTCAATGATGAAATGTTACGTAGGCAGTAGACAGTCTAGTAATATTATAAGTGGCCAGGTTGGGTTAATAGGTGCTTGGGATTGCCTAAAACGAAGAAAAAGTAAGTTATTTTTCACGTTTTAAATCTGCTGCTTCTGTGAGATCTTTCCCTTGAGATATTACCTTGACCACTTCATTTTTTGCAGGGGACTCGTCAATGTTACATAAAAAATTACATCTGTTCAATTTTTTTTTCTCTTTGCATTGTTTTTAAAGCACTAAAGACTTCCAGAACATCTGAAATTAAACTCTGGAGGTCAGATCTTTAGCAAATATAAATCAGTATAACTTGAATGACTTCACTGGAGCTAAATTAATTTGTACTAGCTGAGGTATAAAAACCTTTATTTATCATTTTATCCTTTTATGCAGTTGGAGAGCACAACTCCTACTGAAGTAATAGAAATTGTATGTGTGTAAGAGAAAGAAGTAGGTGCTTAAATTCTCCTTTTCTCCTCGTCTGCTTCTATCAACAGTGATATTTTATTAACTTCAATTTATAGCCTTAGTTCCTTATATAAGTAGTATTCAAAAACAAAGTAAAAGATAAAAACAGTGTTGTATAGGAAGTTATGAGACTTGATATAGAACTACCTTCATTGCATTTGTCATGTAAATTAGTCATTAAACTACAGTAAATACATTAATGTAACATTCCTTGTTCCAAAAGGGAAATTACATGCAAGATTTTTATTATTAGCACGCACATAAATAGCTATTCCATTAAATACTAAAGCTATGCTTTCTAAGGGTAACAGTCCTCTACAAAAATGTTTACTTCAGAAATAAAATAATATTGATGTTGACTCTTACCATACGAAGGGATTCCATAGGGTTGGCCTGGCTGTGGATACGTGGCATAAGCTGTAGCTTGTTGCATCCCTGTAGTAAACTGCGTCTGCCCATATGCAGCCATAGTTTGTGAGGAAGGGGTAGGAAGAATATGTGGGTATGGTCTGCTATTGATTACAAATGATAAAAAATAGGAAAGCCTTTGAATTAGAGACAGACAAGCAAGTACCTGTGCTATGCATTAAATAATTCGGCTATCTGATTAACCATGCTCATAAGATTTTATGAGAGAACAAAACTACTACAATTCATGCAAAGAATAATAATAAGTCAATAATAAAAATAACTCAATAAGAACTTTTCTAAATATTCTTTCAAATAAACTCAAACTAAAAGAATACAAATCAAAAACTCTCTCATGAGCAAGCTTTGGTTTAAATTATGATTTAACAGATGGACCCAATTATGATTCTAAATGAAGCTAGAATCTGCCTATTTCAATTATTATTACCATTATTTTTATTATTATTTAAAAAAAGATGTCATACTTGGAAGGATAAATCTGTGGTGGAGAGAACTGGTGTGTTTGTCTTGGGCTGAAACCACTGCTTCCAATTGCTGCACCAAAGAAAAAAGAAAGCACATAAAAGTGTATTTAAAACAGAACGAAGGTCAATATTTATTTTTTGCTAAGAGAATATAATTAACTAAATTATGACTAATTATCTTAACTAGACAGTAATATTTTAATAGTGACTGGTACCAGTACAGGAGTACTCGATATTAAACGGCCTTTCTGTTCAGTCACAGAGAAATAACTTAATTCTTTGCTTGCATGCAGATAATATTTTCAAGGCAAACACATTATTTCCAATAAATGCCAATGAAAACACTTTACTGAAAGTGTTTCCTTCTTATTTTCAGAGGATTGTGATATTTTAGTGTAACATTTTATTAACTTTTGGAATATTCAAAGACCTGTATTTTATAACAGTTTTAAGTATGTTTCCTATTGAAAACACATGGACAGTTACAGAGCATGTGCCTTTTTTCAAAAAAAGTTCGGTAATACATACGATATATTATACCTGCTTGTGATTCTTTCTTGCACTATCTACTTAGTTATAGTATACTTGCAGACTGTGAAAAACTTTAGTATTTCATAAAGATGCCATGATGAAATAGCAGATGAAACGCTTAAGTGTGGGAGATGAAGAAGCTAACCTATTTTTATTCCAGAAGTTCATGCATTACCGGTTCTAGATACCCATTTGTGAGTCCACAACTATCACTGCTAACAGAGGAGTTTTAAATAAATCCATTAAAAGAAAAGCTTTTGACATTTTAGGGCATCAAAGAGAAAGGAGGTCAGGTATATTTGCTTAGGCTGGGTCTTATGTCCCCATCATTATTTGCAGATGTACCAACAATAAAAGCATTTTTCTTTCTGATTGCTATTTGGTTACCATTTTTACTTTATGTCCCAAGGTCAATCTTGAATCCCTTGCTGGGAAAAGGTCAATTTCAGGTGCTGAGATCTCTGTAAAAAGTCTTTCCTGGCATCAGAAAATACCATGCCCTTTTGTTAAGTGCTTAGGAACAAACAAGATATGGGCAATACAATTTCCAAAGATAGTCAAACCAAGCAGATTCTTATTTTGTAAGTCGGAAGTGAAGACATTTGTTTTCAGTACTACAAGTACATAGCTATTTCTATAGGCATGACCATTAGTGAGAAAGACAGCATAAAAAGAATTTCTCTTCTCATATTTTTACATCAGCTGTTTCAAGTAAAATGTAAGTATACCCCAACTCTATAAATTTATATTACATATGCTTATTACAAGAATCTTGAAATAATTTCCAGTCTAAGTGTGTTCTCACATACTGTGCTTTTAATCACCTCTGAAAAATAGTGAAAATAATTAAAGTATCATCTTTCACAGAGCAGTTTAGTCTATTAGCTAATGGAATTAAAGTCTTCCAAGGATTGTTAAGGTCCATACGAGGGGCTCAACTGTTCTTTCTATCCGGGCTCTGTTTGCTGCAAGAACGACTGTCAGGAAGCCAATTATAGCTCCCTGATCTGGTGCTGGTTCCAGCATCTGAATAGCTAGTATCTGCTGTGACTCCCATCAACATACCTTGCATCAGCAGACAATCAATAGAGCAGGGCTCTGTTCTGACATAACCCACATCTCACATCTTATAGGCTTCATGAGTAAGAGGGTTAGAGATGAAGGTCTGGTATAGGAACCAACTTTGCTGTGTTTATACCAATGGGCAGTTACTCTCTGCTAGAGAAATCCATCCCCTTCACAGCATTTGAGGACCTCAAATAGGGTGAAGGATAGTGGTAAGTCTATCCTTATTCAATTCAAAACTGTACTCTTTGATCTCTAAAAATATTTTGGGTGCAATCTTTGGTCAAATCAGCATAGATACCTGTGGCCTATATCAACAAAGGCACAATATCTGGTCAATTTTAAGTGGATCTTTAAAGTCAACACGTATCTGTAACAATCACTGTAATTACCATAACCCTATTATACCTCCCTGCAAACACAGTTGTAATTTGTATATTTGAAAGTGGGTCCAAATTACAAATAAGAAAGGCAGAAACACACAGGCTAGGGACAAACATTATACATAAACTGGTTTAAGTGATCAAAAACTGGTTTAGACCTATATACAGAACAGATGTTGAGTGCACACAAACCAGTTTGAAAATGGCTGAAATCAGTTTGAGATAAACCTGGGTGAATGTAGGATCAGACTTAACTGATTTGGCTCAAGCCGGTTTATGCAATGTCTGTCCCAGACCCCCTGCTGGTTTAGGATAAACCAGATACCCCCAGCATCCCACCATGCTCTCTGGGCTGGATGGGACTCTCTGCTCCACAGCAGAGCTGGCCCCTCCCCTCTGCTCCCTGGCTAGAGCTCCGGCAGAGACCTGCAGACACAGCAGGGTCTGCCTGGCTTCCCCCTGCCCTATCCAGTCTTGCTGCTCACTGTTTAAGCAGGAATCCCCAACCCCCCCAATCTCCCAAAGCACAGAACCCAGCCCAAAGGACCCTAGGCATATGGTATGCTAGCTAATACTGAGAGGTGTCTGTGTGCATCTCTCTCTCCAATTTCACTAGGACAAGTAGACAGAACAGTGACTGGCTATTTGGATCTAATTAACAGGTCAGCCGGTAAGCTGTTTAAGAAGAGTCTGAAATAATGGAGAGAGACTATTGTTTTGCTGATGAGGTGATAATCACTGTTATCATCCCCCTGCTGGCTTGCTCACCTGTCAGTTTGCTGCAGACAGTAAAAAGCAGCAGGGAGAGGGAGATTGAAAAGCTCCGTATCATCAACAGATGAACGCACTGCACAACCCCCCTTGCCTCAGAGGGCTAGCAGGGGGTCTGGCAACACTCCTGCCCTTTGAGCAGCCAGAGAGAAAAGGCCTGGGACTATGCAGGCAGACCTCTCTAATCAGAGGTCCTGCGGGGGCCTGGCCATGCTCCACCATCAGCTCAGTACTGTGCAAGGGAAGGGATGGCTGCTCTAGTGCCCCCTTCCCCCAGCTTGTAGCCTGAGCTACAGTAAGCCTGAATTTCCTCAGTCCAGAGAGAATGCCTGTCCAGTTACAAACAGGTTCAGCCTAGCCAGGTTAGACTAACCTGCAAAAACTGAATCAATTCAGGTTCAGGCTTTTTGAATGTCTGTCCCTAGCCACAAAGAAAATTGGAACAGGTCTGAATTCAGACATTTGGGTACAAAATCCATAGATAACCCTTTCTATATCAGGGATTCCTTAGCACAAGTGGAAAACAAATATATATGTTACAAGGAATGCCCGGAATTCAGTACAATCATAAAGATGCACTGGACACCCCAACAACTTTACAAATTTGCAGCTGCTCCCAGTGACTGTGTTAATCTAGGATTGTGTTAATTTTAGTACCATCCCAGAAACTTGAAGCAACAAGATGTGATCAAATATTCATCTGTGGCTCCCTCATCACCAGACTTCCAGGATATATGTTATATATGCAAAACACACAAGTGTATGAAAATATAGAGATGACTGCCCTCAGAAAATGAAACAATTAGCTTGTATCATAATTTCCCAAGGGGAACTCTCATTGCAGACACCGATGGATATCAATAAGCTTGGTTTTGCATTCCTTATTCAGGAAACGTTCTTTACTAACTTAAACAAGTTGGCTGAACAAGGAATGCAGGATCAGGCCCAAAAGAAGGCAGAAATTGCAAAGTTAGCACAGCCTTTTATTCTGAATTTCTGTAGACTACATTTAGATTGAAAAGGGATGAAAAAAGATAACTGGAAAAATGCCTTTATTTACTCCTTACCTGATCCTGAGAAATTGTCTAAAGACCCGTCTGCTGTAGTAGTAGCAATCTCACTGCTGCTCATTGGTTCTGTTTTAACTAGAAGTATAAATAAAATATATTCTACATACACCTAATATTTGTATACATATACATATATGTGCATGCATGCATGCGCACACACATGCACGCACACACACACTAGTCACAAATAGAATTCAAACAGAATCTATTAACAAATATTTTAAATTCTTTGTATGCCTCTATTTTGCATTTTATATATTCAAATGATTTTTAAAAATCTATTTCTGTCCCCAAGAAATAAAAGCCACTGTAACAAACTAGAAGATATCGTTCTGGACAATAATTATGTTGAATCACAATGCAACTCTGACTCTTCTTAATCCAGAGACTCAACAGTCTATAAGAAGCTGTATTTCAGTAAGCAGAGAGCTGTTGTTTCTAGGCTGAAGAACAAAGTTTTCAGCAGTGATCTGAATGAAGCAAACACTGAAAATTGCCTTAATAGGCTGGTAAAAAATCTATTCAAACTATTTTTGAACCAGAACCAGACATCATTTTTAAATGCTGAAATCTTTGATTATTCAGAGAATGGACTCCCTTAAAATTAACAAAAACCTAAACTGTTTCTGTATTAGAATTTTGGCTGAAAAAAAAATCTAAATTTTTCATTGGGGAAAAATAATGTTGTTCTGACCAACTCTAATTTCTTCCTCAAAGTGGAATTTTACTCTCTAAATGACTATGTAACAACAGCAACTTATTCTGCAATGATAAATACACAGAGGAAATGAAGTCATTACTAGTTACTTTGTTGCCAACAAAGTTGTTATTATTTATTCCAGTTTGTAGTGCAGACACAACACAACACAACATTTTTGGAGCAGGGCTTTTTCTGACTCATTCTTCCTCATGAATCAGTCAATTAAGCTCTCAGTTAAGAGACAAAAGGGACAGACTTCCAGTTACTCCAATCCAGCCTCACCAAAGGTATCACCTAGATGCTCAGACTGAGGTAGGGGTGAGAAGTGGCCTTATATTACCATGTGTACTAAAAAGGTTAAAATATAAAGTCAGAGCTTTGTATAAGAATTTATTAAGACGAAACAAGCTACACAGTGAGACTACAAAATTCCATTTTTTACATATACCTCTCACTAAGCAACTGCTGGATATCTACAGCCTTGATTCTTACTGATTTTGCCTAGGATTTAGAATTAGCATTGGCAGAAAGCCATATGGAGCTTGTAAATTGAGCATGACAGAACACAAGAGGAGGGTTCCTCTTCTGATTTCCACGTGTCCCTCTCTCTCTGAGACCTTCTCTATGTTTCTTCATGCCAGGAAAGGTAGGAGCAGTATATGCATAATGTTAATATAATTTATTCAAAGGACAGTAACTAGATTGACAAACTGATTTTTGTCCATACAAACTGCAAGCTTCTCATTTATGACACTTGATCTTGGTAAGTAACCTATCCCTAAACCCCTTCAATATTTCTAATATTCCTAGCTACATTCTTTTCACTCCCATGCAGGATTTTTCAATAGTAGAACAATAGTAGAGCTATAGTTCAATGTACACCTAACACTAGGGCTCTTATGCTTAATTTTATAGCAAAATATAACCCTATTTGAAGAGCTCAGAGTGAGTAAAATGAAAAAGTAGGGCCAGATTCAAGTCAATTTTGTAGGTGCCTTACCTTCCAAAATTCCTAACAGAATTTAGGAATCTATCTTACAAGTCATCCAAGATGGGTCCCACTCAAGGAGTGGCCAAATTGTTAGAGCCCTGGATTTGGAAGATACAGAAATCTAGAACTCCCTCCTCTGAAAGGCTACAAAACCTGGCACCCTCCTCCATGATCTCTAGGCTGTTTACATTTACACTTTAGACAGTCTTTGATTTAAAAAAACAAATAAAACAGAACCCCCCCAACCCCCCCCCCAAAAAAAAACAACCCACAAAAATAAACCTGGTAGCAGGTTTCTCAGGGAAAATCAGTGGCGTACTGATGGTGGGGGCCCTCTAGGGAGTACTCGGTCCCCTGACAGCACTTCCAGGCTCGGCGATTGGCCACTGGGGGACCCTCCCCCGCTCAGTGATCAGCTGCCAGGGGACCGTCCCCCGCCCCACCCAGCGATTTGCCACAGGGGGAGATGGGGAGGCACAAATGCAAGCATCAGCCCCTGGGCTCCAGAGACCTATGGTACACCACTGGAGAAAATTCCCTACAAAACTGCGCTCCCCCACCCCCACAAAGGGAAAACTGGCCTACTAAGTTGTATTCTCACTTCTTTGCTCTCTGCCTGCCTTGATGAATCTTGCACTCTTGACTGCTCTGTGGCTCAGCTTTGCCTAATCTACATTATAACCTGGTAACTGGGGTCTTCTTCTGGGAACTGAGAAATATAAGTATCCTCAAGTGGAGGATGACCTAGAACCCAGATCTGCCTGGTTAGCGCTACTAAGCAAAAGGTATCAAGGTTGAGCTAGGCACCTCCCCACTGCATCTTCTGAAGCACAATGACAGAGCCACCTAAAGTGTAGCTTTGAGTCAGATACTTGACCTCATAGTGATAGGAAGTGTCAAACACAGCCTCATGGGCAACTGGTGCCTCCTGAGTCCGGGGGGGGGGCACTTGCCCCCCCCCAGAAGCTGGCACTTCCTGGTGGGCACAATCAGCCATGGAGGGACCATGGGGATTGCTTCTCCTGGTACCCCCGCTCTCCAGCCGGCACTCTCGGTGGGGAATGTGCACCCCCCGTGCACCTCCTATGTATTGCCACTGCACAGCCTCATATCCATCGTTTCCTATTGACTAGCTCTATGAACCTCCTTCCTCAGCATCTAGACTTACTGGATTCTTCTTGGGAGGTAATTAACTTTTTCCAAGGACTCAATAGGAATTCTAGGTGTCTACCTTTTCCCTCCAGAGGAAAGGTACCCATATTTTAGATGTGTGAAAAAAAAAATAGTTTTGGTCCAAACTGACCTGCCCAATAGAGAAACAGGTAGAAACAAAATCCGTGTCTTCAGAGTCTCAGCTACTGGACCATATAAGCTCTCTGCACAATATACATGCATCACTCCACAGACTATAAAGGAGTGTCAGTCTGTCCCTCCCACCATTCTGAGATTCTTCCCAGACTAATTTTCATATTGTTACGTTCATAGAAATGATACTGGAGAATGGATTGTTCTCTGACTGGAAAACGGGGTGAAGGAAAATAAAAACAAAAAGGAGGAATCTAGCTTGGGAGTTCCAACCTGTAGAATTCCTGTAAGTTTGCTTCTCCTACCTCTATGCACTTCCACTTAAATGTTATGTTTCTGTTGTGTGAAATAGCAAAGCTTTCTTTGCAAATGTCTGGGTCACTGAAAACCTGGCATCCCTAGCAATTTAAAAGCCTTCCATAGTCTAGACCTAGCATCCATCCCTAACCATTTAAAAAGCCTTCCATAGTCTAGAAATGCATGGTATCATTTCTTCCAGACAATCTTTTTCAGAGAAATATTCATTTTTCAATTGGACAAAAATGTCTGGTCACTGTAAACATAAAAACCTGGTTCACATCTACTGAGTGAAGTTTATCTTGATGTCACATTAACGGGGAAAAATTGCTAAAAGTGTAGTTTCACTTTGTGTGAATTATTAGCAATATTTTACTTTAATAATTTTTAGAGCTGAATTTGTTTAAGTTTATAAAACATAGAAACAGTAATGTAGAGAACACACAGGAGCTACTTTGTCAAAGCAGGAAATGAGACACTAATTGATGACGGAGGAACTCAAATATTTTGACACAAACTGTTCCATAATTTTCCGCAGCACATCTCATATCAGCTGTTATGCTTTCTGCATATATGAAAACAGGATAAGAAAATGAGAGTCCAAAGCTCCTGATCTGCATACATGTTCCTAACTCTAATTCACAAATAAACTTTACTGTGCCTTCAGCAGGGAGAACTGCAAACCTGATAATTTCATGCTGCAGCTTGCCAGGAATTTGACAGATATAGGAAATTAAAAACCCTCCATAGCCCAATCAGCCAATATTATCAAAATGCCAGTTAAAAATTGCATACTTGAAACTTTCTGGTACTTAAGAAAGTATATTGAAGGACTGACAGTTTGCTATGCACAGAAATGCATGGGGAAATGACAGCATAGGGCCCATCTAGTAGATATCTTTATAGCCTGCCATGGATTCTGACTGCAGAGAGAACTCTCTGACCTATTCAAGAGACCGGGTGACCTACTGCATAGTGAACTCTCCCAGAAACTTGAGGAAAGACACTAAAAGCAAGGCTGTAGAGAAGAGTTCCTTAGCCAAGCTTGGAAGAGAAGGTGCAGTTGCAAGGTATGCAACTCTGGCAGAATACCACTTCAGTGTTTTGTGTCTATCAAGTGAAAATATGGAGATGTCCAAGCAAGCAAAAGCTTGGAAAGGCACAATACGTTATTCTTACATTTTTAGTCAAACTGAAAAAGCCAAAAAGACAACAAAGAGGAGAAAAAGCCCAAGATTATTAGCCAAAATAAAAGTCCAACAGGTAAGCTATAGATAGGTAGCATACATTTGAAGTTCTAGGCAGCTGCATAACATATGCAAGAACGGGAAAATACAGCATACGAAAACCCAAGTTAACAAGACTGCTGAGATGGAACTAAAGCAGCTTTATATTGAGCCATGTTATTTGAAGAGACATGTTTTGAAATATCCAGGTAATATTGTGCATATTTCTGCATGGATACTGCAAAAGATGTAGTAGGATTACAAATTACCTTTCAAATCCCACAAAGAGCAACACTTATACACACATAATCTAATGCTTTATATAGTTCATTTGCCAAGTAACAACATTCTAATTCAACATCACCTAAGAAACAAATATTACATAAAAATGGGAGCTAGAACATACTAAACACTTTCTAAAATGTATTCTTACATACAGAGTTGAGTGTTTAACTTTTGGCTAAATATTAAAATCTTGTCCTTAACCAAGGGAAAAAAAGAAAAGAAAAAAAGAAGAAGAAAAATAATCAGTGTTCATGGGAAATGAAGGTAAGAA